TGACAAGGACAAAGGTGAATACCACACCAGGGTGGTTAAGCAAATCTTATGGGTCAATGGCATGAGGTATGAGTTACAAGAGATATATGGAATTGGAAACTCAACTGATGGGGAATGCGATGAAGGTGATAATGGGAAGGAATGTGTCATATGCCTATCTGAACCCAGGGACACTACTGTACTTCCTTGTCGGCACATGGTAAACTTTATTGGATTTCTCTCTTTGTTTTTCTTAACTGCTTTACAGGATTTCAGAATAAAAAACCAATTTTGATCAAAATTCAGTTAATTTATGTCTTATTCATGGACACGAATTGTTGGTTTTTCATTAACCAATTCAAGAGGGCACAATGCGCAAATGGTACCATTGCAGGTCGATCTATATCACATTCGTACCTTAACTAATTATTTTATCGTGATAGCACTGTCAATTAATAATAAAAAATGTAACATTCAAGGATTTTGTCCAGACATATGTTGGCAGCTGAAATGCAGTCCTACGCCCCCATAAGGCTAAGAAGAGGAACCACGTGGATTGGTGTTTTGTCCCGTGGACGGATTTAAGAGGCATATAGTGGAATTGGATGTGTCAATACTCAATAGTCATTGTGTGGCAAAACACCTTCACACGTGGCTACTCTTGTTCAACCTTGCATAGCATTTGACTGTGTATTATTCCTGCAAACTCAGCTATTATTTGCTGGAATTCACATAGGCACCTTGGATGCACTCTCTAACATTTATGCTGAAGGTGTGTTTGGTTGGATGAGAGGGGTATTATGTTTATTTTCCCTCTCTCACCTTCCTCAAACCAAACACACCCTAAGTTGACGGTACTATACTCCTATCACAATACATTGAGAAGTCGAGGTTCCAAAGTGACACAAAATCAAATTGTTATGGTACCATTTGGGAATTATGCACAATTATTGGAGACAAAATGTCATGCCATGCTAAAACGTACGGGTTTTGCCAATTTTGTATGGATATCTGTTAATACTATTTGTTTCATGATGCAGTGCATGTGCAGTGGGTGTGCCAAAGTTTTGAGGTTTCAAACAAACCGTTGTCCTATTTGCAGGCAGCCCGTTGATCGGCTCTTGGAGATCAAGGTCAACAACGACACAGAAGAATGAAGCACTTGTTTATTGCCTTCTCTTTTGTAAAGCTCTTTTGTTTCTCTTTTCGGTGCCATGGGATTTCTGTAAAACTGGTTCAGTTCCCAGATATATAGTTGCTGCTTTCTCTGCTTTGCTCAACACTATTTAACCTTATTTGTGTTCTTTGACAATTCTTTAATATATGTTCATATAAATGCTGGAATTGGTGTATTTTGCTTGAAACCATATTCGTTCAGCGATCTTTTTTAAGGACTAGTTTCGTTTATGATGACTTCATGTTTTATGAGTTTTTTTTCTCTCTTTGTAACTCCGGTCGGACCAAAGCAGAAAAGCACACACCCATAGCCTAAACCTCTTGAAAGTTGAAACAAATTAACGGTAGTATCCCAACTTCTTCGCTAATTTGAGTGATAGAAAGTTCACTCTACAAGATTTATAGAAAATTTATCCAAATTCGAGCATCATCAGAAGTGGGGGTTTTGACGTTTTGTGTTTTATTAGATTAATAAAAGTATGAACATATACTCCGTATTTTTTATTATAATGGAGTCAAAAGCACTAAAAAATGGTAGTATCTCACATTCTCACCGCTCACGCTACCGATCTGCTATGGAGTAGTAGTTAATGTCGTAGGTCATTTGCAGTGCTTCATCACCACTAACTTTAAATTAGCAGTCACTCTAATCCATATTAGCGTTGCTTTCATCGCAATGACTACACCATTGTCACCTTTATGGGTTAATAGCATGGGCACTCCCTGTGGTTTACAAAAAAGGCGTCAAAACCCCCTCTGTTTCCAAAATTTATTTGTAAAGTCCATGTGGTTTTTAAATAGAGCACACATGCCCCCTTACATATTTTTAAAGCAAAAATGACATTTATAGCCTTTGTTTTCCCCGATCTTGAATTTTTCCGATTTTAATTTCCTTTATTATACAAATATATAAAATATATGCTTCCCATCTCAAATTAGAATTTTTCATTATGTACTTTTGAAAACAAAATGTTTTTTGGAGAATGTTACAAAAAAATGAAAAATAAAATATTATCTACAGAGTAAAAAGTAATAACAGTTAAAAAAAGCAAAGAAAAGAAATAAAAATATAAAAAATAGTCTTTTTCTTTAACTCCTTAATTTAAAAATGAAATATGAAGAACAGAAAGATGAAATAAAATATGGAGTTAAAGAAAAAGACTATTTTTATATTTTTATTTCTTTTTACTTTGTACATAATATTTTATTTTCCATTTTTTTGTAACATTCTCCAAAAAATATTTTGTTTTCAAAAGTACATTATGAAAAATTCTAATTTGAGATGAGAAACATATATTTTATTTTATATATTTGTATAATAAAGGAAATTAAAATCGGAAAAATTCAAGATCGGGGAAAACAAAGGGCATAAATGTCATTCTTGCTTTAAAAATAGGTAAGGGGGAATGTGTGCTCTATTTAGAAACCACAGGGACTTTATAAATAACTTTTGAAAATAGGAGTGGTTTTGACGCTCTTTTTGTAAACCACAGGGGGTGCCCATGCTATTAACCCTCACCTTTATTTATGTTTACCTATTTCTATTTAAATTTAATTAAAATGAAAATAAAAATTTATCATTTTTGCATTTTTCCATTTCGGAATTTTTTATGTATTTTATTTTTAATTTGTTTACATAGCATATGTTCAGTTTTTGTCCTACTTTATTTATTCAATCTTTATAACATTTTATTTACCACGATCAATAAAAAATAAATAATAAGAATAATAATAAATACTTCATTATTTTGTCTTACTTGTACTTTTCATCCAAATATACCGTTTTTTCTTTAACTTTTTTACAGCATAAAAAACATAAAATAGTTTAAATTTAAAAGAAAAAACAAGATAGAATAATTTAAACTTAAAACACATTTTGTTCCAAAAATATAATAAGAAAACATAATTCGTTCAATTTTGAAGTGTTTGAGTAAAAAAAAATAAAGTGATACATAGCATCAAAACTATATATGTCATATTGGTGTAGATTTTGTTAAAATATTCCAACGAGGTATTATATATTCAGGATCGAGTAATAATTTACAGGCAAAAAGTTATGAATAAAATATGCTCAAAAAAAAAATGAAAAGAAAAAACAAAAGAAAAAAAAAATGCAGTAGCTAACCCTCTGTGGTCGTACTCACGAAGCCAATGGAGGGGCGATGTTCATTGTCTCTCCCGCAACTGTGGCGGGCATCCACAGTTGGCATGAAGCACTATGTTCAATCTTTTGATAGCAAGTGGCAAAACACAGAATCACAGATGACCAAATTCGCCTAGGTGAAAATTACTCAAAGTACATACATATTGTTTAATTAATTTACTGTTGGAAATTTGATCATGAAAGGGTGCAGATTCAGATCTTGACCAGAACTAAACACCACCAGCTCGTCCAACTGAGTTGAGTGGTAACAACCAAAGACACGACAAAAGACAGAGAGATCGAGTGAAATGTGAGCGAAAATTTTAGGACCGGGAAAATATGAATGATACACGGATGGTAGATATATGGATCAAGTGACGGATTGAGTGAAATGTGAGCGAAAATTTTTCTTATCCATCACCTGTGTGTATTTGTAGACAAATAATACTACCATGTTTAAGAAAACCTACACTTGTCTCTTTTTTTTTCTTTTAACAACTAATTGAATGCTTCATAGTTTTACATACACTTTACTTTAGTTCCAATATTTTATATACATAGAAATAAATTTAAATAGATACGGAGTATCAGTAATACTCTCTTCGTCCAAAAAGATTGGGATATTTTGACTAAAGTGGTAAAATAAGGAAGAATGTTTTGGTGTTGACTTTCCAAAAAATACCCTTGATGTAATGGGTAAAAGTAGGATGTGATGGGTAGATTATTAGAAAAAGGTATGATGTGATACGTAGGGTATGAAAAAGCAAGGGGTAAACGTAGTTTTTTAATAGAAATGAAAAGGACTTTAAGGGATTTAAATTTTTTTGATACGTAACTGATTTTTTGGGACGGAGGGAGTATTATTTACAATATTTAATTAATCTCCATGAAATACTCTCACGTTCTCAAACTAATGGCCCAGTTTGACCTCTTTTGTCAAACTTTTTGAATTTTGAACATATATTACCAAAATATTAAATTGAATTTTTATATAAGTTTAATACCAATAAATTTAATTTAAAACATAGTTTTAAAATATTATATTTTTATAATATATTTATATATAAATAGAGATATTAAGAATCCAAGTATTGTATTGGAGACCGTGAAAAATCAAATAAAAATTAAGAACGGAGGAAGTATATCTTTAATATTGTACATGAATGTGATACCCTTATTTGATGATGTAAATACGGAAAGAGAAGAAAACACTACTAGAAAAATCATGAATACAAACATATACTACATCAATATTTTATGTGACAAATTTTATACACGTTTTGGATGGATCTATAATGTACTTATGTACCTCTTGTAATTCCAATATGAGATTGGACATAATGAGATTGAAAGAGAAAAAGAAAAAAGAAAAAAATAAATTTCTTTAAATATAATGAGAAAAAAACAACTTGCTATGTCCCAAAATAGCATTGCCCAAAAATTAAATTACGTGAGGAGAGCATTTTCAAGTCCGTGAACGGCCGAGATTGAAGTGGGATGGCAAGTGGCAACCAATGACAATACAACCAAACCGACAAAAGACGAAAACACGGGAGGCACATCTTTGAGTTGTACCTGCGGCACTGTGTGTTATATTACTGCCTCCCTTAAAATTTTAATATTATTTTATAAAAAAATTTAATATAATAATATAAAAATGAATTATAATTAAAAAATAATATAAGCATAATCTATTTTTAGAACACACATTTTTTCATTTTTTGAAAACGGAACCCAGAAAGTAGTACGAATGCTCTGTTCATACAAACTAAACCAGAGTGGGCATCTAAGTTTTAATTCCATGTGAGCTTAAGGGCTGTTTGGTTTAGCATTCTTGACCCTTGTTGGAAATAACATGGATACCACAGAGGACCAATCTTTTGCCAAACAGAGTGGCGTTGAGGACTCTTCCAAACCAGCTCTGCCGCCGCGGCCGCAGCCGCCGGCTCTTCCTCCGAGAGAGGTACTCACTCCTCTATCCCGCTTTTTTCTTCATGAAAAAAACTGCCCTTTTCTTCTTCTTTGATCCATATTCTTGCTGAATTACGTTTTTTTACACTGAATTTTGATTTCTCCAATTAACGCAGAAGCTACCCATATTTGCTTCAATTAATCAATTTGGTTCTTGAAGAGTGATTTTTTATATTCTAGAGATTTTAGGAGGGTATTTATCAATTATGAGTTTCTTTCTTTTGTTTAGGGCCTATTTGTTTAACCCCAAGACTGCTGAATTAAAGAAAATTCATGCTCCCTAAGTAATTTGCACAAGGGGTGTTTAGGTGAAAAACTCTTGTAACAATTGGCTTTTACATGTCTTGTAACATAAGAAAAACATAGACTGAGTGTATATATTTATTCTCCCTGGGGTTGTTTGGTTATATAGCAATTTATGTGAATGGTCTTTATGTTTATAGTGTTATGTTTTGATTTAATAAAAGGGGAAACTTTTTACTGAAGATGATGGTGTGTGGTTTGAATGTCTATGAAGGTAGATGAATCAAGCGAAATCGTGGAGGAGCAGTCTTTGAATGTGCATCAAAAGAGGCAAAATTTGATTTTGGAGATACCCAAAAGAGCTCTAGAGGAAGCGTCGGAGAGTTCTTCGAGGACAACCGTACCCCTATCACCAACTCCAAAAAGGGTAAACTTTTCGCCTTTGCCGAGCCCCTGTCATGGTAAAACAGATGGATCACCTGGTCCATCGTCAAGGGGTAAATCGTCTGTGAGAAACCTCATCCCTAAGATCAGCTTCAAATTCCGGAACACAACATTAGACATTGAAAGGGCTGCTATCCTAGCTCTGGGAGGGTCCCCTGCAACACAAAAGAAGCCTTCACTTTTGAGCCAGTTTTCTGTAACTAAGATTTTCAATCAACCGTTGAAAAGAACATCATCATTGCCAGTAACTCCAATTCTGCACTCGAATCCTGAATCAACGCATGGAGGACTCACATCAGCTGTGAGTAGTCATTGTATCTTTGTTTATCCTTTGTATGTAGAAAATGATTTGTATAATTTGAGAGCTAATCTAATGGTTACATCTTTCAACTGGTGAATAGAAAGTGCATATAGGGGACCCAATACACAGGTCACATTCAGTTCCTGATTTAAACAAAGATGGAAGCTCTAGACAGGGGTGTGTAGGGAGTCTATACCGTGTTATTCCCTCAACTGCCCCTCAAGTTCCGGTGCAGTCTGCAGAAACCTTAGCTGCATCTCCGGCTGAAGGTAAAGCTTTTCCCACGGTCTCACAGTATAGGGTTTTGTTCTGCCTTTTACGGACTACATGACAAAATTGTCAAGTGGTATTATTTTTTACTGAAAGAGTTCTCTTATACCCTGTTAAATGCTTCATTTTCACTAAACTCTGGTCGACAACTTTTGGAGTTCTTCAGTGTGTTTAAAATGAGGGCAAGAGTGGAATTCTACAAAAATGATATCTTTTCTCAAGGGACAAGTTTTTTTTTTGCTAACGTAAAACTCTTGCAAATCATCCGTCCTACTTATATTTTGTTTGTTTATTCAACTAAATACAGCATACTTGACTTGTTTGGGATACTTCTTTAATAAAAAAAAATCATTGAACTCATTCAAAATTAGCTAAGCCTTTTATGGGACAAAAGAAGTTATGAAAGAGGACTTTTTTGCCACGGAGGGAGTACCTAATCTTAGAAATCTTCAGATGGTAAAGTTTTTTTACTTTTTTTTTTATAAATAAATATAACTTGTGTTTGGTGTCTTTGTCTAGAAGGAAAAGAGAACTTGGGTGAAGACATCACTGGAGAAGATGCAGTATGCAGAATATGTCTGGTTGAACTTGGGGAGGGTACGGACACACTTAAGATGGAATGCAGTTGCAAAGGCGAACTAGCCCTGGCCCACAAAGAGTGTGCCGTAAAATGGTTCAGCATCAAAGGAAACAAGATCTGTGATGTATGTCGTCAAGACGTTAAGAATTTGCCTGTCACCCTTTTGCGCATTCCAAACAGGCCCTTAGGAATTGGAGCACAGGCTGCTATTATTCAATATAGGCAAGTGCCTAAAACTCTCCCACACATCATATTTCTTCTTCTCAATTGGTGTTACCCATTTGGCATCATCCAATTACGATCCGTGTTTTGAATTTTTTTCTTTTCATTTCTATAAAAATTCACTTTGCATTTTGAATACATTACAGACTTTGGCAGGATATCCCGATTCTTGTTATTGTCAGCATGCTTGCCTACTTCTGCTTCCTAGAGCAACTCTTGGTATGTCAAGAGAGGGTTTTTTTTACATAAAAATAGTCACTAATTCATTTCTGGAGTAATTATATTTGTACCTATGATATGAGAATATTTTGTCATACGCCCTCCAAATATTTACTAACAAGTTTATATGTAGGTATCAAGAATGGGGTCGGGAGCCGTCGCAATATCTCTTCCATTTTCATGCATATTGGGTCTCCTTGCATCCATGACATCAACTAATATGGGTATTTTAAATTTATATTTCCTACCTATTGGTCTCGTCATTTGAATATTTCTATGAACGAAATATGGCCTATCTCTTCTTATGATTCTCATTCTTTGTTTCCAGTGAGGAGAAAATATGTTTGGGTCTTTGCAACAATTCAGTTTGCTTTGGTGGTTCTCTTGGCCCATGTTTTCTTTTCGCTGGTAAGCTGTGCTTCTGTTGAACACTTCACCCACTTCAGAATCAGTCTTCTCACTCATTTTCTTGTTAATTTTGACTGACAACTTTGGAAGTACACACATAGGTTCCTTTTGATGACATCAAACACATTACTGTGGTCTTTGTTTTTCAGTAGATAATATTAAAATGCTAGGGGAAAGGGGAAAATCCTTAAAAATCCCGAAAACATTATAACGAAAACTTTAGGTTTTACCCTAATGCGATGTTTTCCCCCCCTTCAAATCGCAGCTCCACATCCAAGCAGTTTTATCGGTTGTTCTGGCCTCCTTTGCTGGTTTTGTTGGGGTAATATCTGGAACTTCAATCCTTTTTGAGCTTACAAAGTGGATGAGGTGGCAGACATCCTCGGATCAGCAAACAGTATCTCAGGTAGCCGACCAATCTTCAGAATCCAATCGACATCCAGTTGACATTGAAAGTGGAGATGGTGGAGGCGAACAAGCCAGACTGTAAAGAAACATTCTATACACAACTTATCGTACAATACATAATTGTCATTGGATCTTATTTTGGACTTCGTTGACGACATGAAAGTCTTAATAAGGTTGTTTTGCTAGGCTTGTTTGGTTTGGTTTGGTTTTAATTCATAGAGGGAGTTTAGTATACATTGGGTGCAACAGGATATTAATGCCTTCTTTGATTAGTAGTATGTATATATATATATATATATATAGTTATAGTGTAGTTAGTTCTACCTAATCCATTGGAGTCAATCATCTTGTCAGCTATTATTGATGAAGCCAACCAGAGAAAAGCTCAAGCCATTGGAATATGTGGATTTGACTCTCACCACACCCCAGAACCCATGTACTATAACATAAGAATGGGGGAACAATGGGGGACATAATTGATGTTATTGGTGTGGTCATTCCAGGTCTATGATGTTTTCGATATGGTTTTTTTAATGAAATGTACCAATGATGACCCCATTGGCCCGGCGTAGAGCCGACTGCAATGGGCCTCGGATCATCGTTGACTTGTACGTTGCACAACCTTAAGGATGTAAATCACGTCCAAAATCATGAAAAGAAAGTCTTTTTGTATCATTTTTCTCACCAATTTGGAAGAAAACCTTCCCTTCTCAATTTACTTCTCATTTTCTTTTCATCTCTACCCAAAAAGGGCAAGGTTCCCATGACATTGGTTCCCAATGTCATGGGATGATCCGGGGGTGCTCCGGTGCCCCGTTCGTAAAATTGATGGTTCCTACCCCCCGGTAAACCCCTCCACCACGCCCCGACTCGAACACGCCCCCCACCCCCTCCAATTGCACCCCCTAGTTGATTTTGACTTTGGAGTCAAATTTTGACTCCAAAGTCAAAATCAACTTGCGGGGTGCAATTGAAGGGGGTGGGGGGCTTGTTCGGGTCGGGGCGTGGTGGGGAGGTTTACCGGGGGGTTAGGGGGTAGGAATCGTCAATTTTACGAACGGGGCACCGGAGCACCTCCGGATCATCCCATGACAGGAACCGGCCTCATATTTATAAGTTTAAAATGTTTATAAATAAAATATTTTTAAAAGTTACTTCATCCGTCCCTGAGTATTTATCCACCTTTGACTTTTTTGGTAAAAATTGATAAACTTTGATTTTAAATTAAATAAAAAAGATATATTGATACAAAATTAGTTTTATTTGATTTATTATATCATTCATTTTCAAATACTATTTTATCTACTTAATATAAAATATATAATTTATTTAATTATAGATCAAATGTTGAAAACAATTGACGGAAAAAAGTATAAACTAGATAAATACTCAGCGACGGGGGTAGTACTAGATTTTGCACGTTGTTCGAAAAGTACTCATTTACCTCTTGTTTGGAAGAGAGAAAATAATAGAGGAAAGAAAATTCAAAAAGACAATTAAGGAATGTGTGTATATTTCGTTTTGGAGCAGAAAAAAAAATAAAATGGGAAGAAAGCAACATTTATTTTTCCACATCTCGTTTCCACTGTAATGGAAGTGAAAGTTTCCATAGTAGCGCTTAGTCTTATACCCTTATAAAACCCAATGTTATTACTGGACTCGCCGGTCCAATCGGTCGGACCGCGAACCGGTGAGTATTCCGGTCCGGCTCAATTGTAAAAACCGGATATGCATCGACCCGCCCAAACCCGGTAAACCCAGCAGAACCGGTGGACCGGGTCGACCCGGCCGACCCGTGAGTTGTGTCCGAATTTTTTTTATCTATAAAATAAAATGATGGAGATGGGATTCGAACACAAAACCTCATGATTCAATTTTCTAAATCTCTAACTACTTAAGCTAATAAACACTTGTTATCAAAACCAAGCAGAATAGTATATATATACTGTTTCTTGTTTGTGTTGGGGGAATTTAAAAAAGTACTAACTATTTGTAAGAAAGAGCATGTTTGTGTTGTGTAGTTTCTTTATAATCTTTTAAAATATTTCAATGTAAAAATTAAATATTATTTTTTTATTAAATAATAATGAATAATTTACATTTGAATAAATATTAGCATCTATAAAATGAAGAAATATATACTAATTATAATAAAATATGGAAAGTGTGAAAGAGTATATGAACAATGACATTGAAATTAACATGGAGAAGAAAAAAACACAATATTAAGTATTCTATTTAACATTGAAAATGACATTAACATCTTTCCTTAATATGTGTGTCCGGTTCAAATAAGAACATTAAAATTACACGGAGGGAGTATATGCTTTGTATTATTTAGAAATAATAGGTATTTAAGTTATATGATAATGTTTTATTATCTTTTAAAAATAGCCACAAAACATGGTATTATTTAATATTTTATTATCTAAACATAAATATGAATATTATATACCAAGTCATGGGTCGTTGACCGGTTCGTTGACCCGAGTCAACCCAATTCAACCGAATAACTCTTGACCTAGTAGCTTATCCGGTTCGACGTCCGGTCCTGTTTTCAAAATAGTGATAAAACCTTTTCTTTTAGTAATGATAGGAGTACACCACCCCACCCGACTCCGCACCACATACGTCTTTTCATTTTTCTCTCTTTATATCTATAAAAGAAAATGTGTGGTGGAGACTACATGGGTGTACAAATGGAATATATTTTCATCTACCTCTAACATTTTTGTATTTCTTTCTCTTTTTCTACTAGTAGATACTACTAGAATATGTATTAGAGTTTGATAGTTTTCCTATTTTCATTATAGTAGGAATAGAACTTACTTATTTGTTTTACGTACTCTCTTCTTATATAAAGAGGGTCCAATCTTTGTAATCTTCAAGACAATTCAATATAGAATTACTCTCCATTATTATTTTCTACATGGTATCGAAGTCATCGTTCTTGGTGGCCTAAAAAGTCTGTCTTCACTCTTGGCGGGCGGAGCCACCACCATTAGCCGTCCGCCGGACTGTTGTCCTTTGTTCCTTGTTCCTTGCGTATAGATCTATAGTTGTTTCCCTATCCTAGTCCCAGGTCGTCACCGTAAACCAAGACATCATCGGAGTTACTGGTGCCTTGTCTCCTAATTCTAGGCGTGCCGCTGCCAATCGTTATTATCGTCGCCACAACTACATATCGTGCCATAGCTGCCAACCAATAGGTTCGTCGTCCGCCACACAACCTGTGCCATCATGAACACTCAACCGCCGGGAGTCCCATCCGTCCAGCAACTTCTCCACCTGGTTCGTCCGTCCTCACCTTATTACTGGATCACATCAAACACCCATCATCAATAGCTAGTCGACATACGTTGGCGTCTCCCGCTGTTTGTGCAGTCGTGGTGGGGTGGCATCCTTTGTCTATTCTCTTCACCAAAATTCGTCTGCCGTCAAAAGTTAGATCCGTCAATTCGGTTTCAATTCGTTGTATGCAATCTGGGCATCGTTCTTGTCCATTTTGATCAACGTCCAAAAAATCTAGGCATCATTCTCGTCTAGCATTTGGTTGTTTGACTTTTTTGCTATGTTCAGTCGCAACCAGCCGTACGTACGGCATGTCAGTTTGTGGGTCGTCGATCCTCAGTCCGATAACATTCTGTCCATTTGTTTGTCGTCCCGCATGGGAGTCATTCGTCATCAAATTTTTGTTGTTCGTTTGCTCGGTCTGTCGTTGGCATAACAAATCAAAGTTTTGTCCAAGTTATTTATCGAGTTGTTTTTTTCTAGTTCTAATTTTATTGTTCAAGTTGTTCATTCATGATCCTCATTCTCAACTTGAGGGGGAGTGTTAGAATATGTTTTAGGGTTTGATAGTTTTCCTATTCTTGTTATAGTAGGAATATAATTATGGTAGGAATAGAACTTACTTATTTGTTTTACTCTCTTCTTATATAAGGATGGTTCAATCTTTGTAATCTTCAAAACAATTCAATATAAATTTATTCCCCATTATTATTTTCTACAGATACTCTCTTTCTCTTTGTTATGAGAAAAATGCACTGTTTATCTCTGAATTTTTCAAAAAATAAACGATTTATCCCTGAAGATTAAAAGTGTATCAAATACCCTTGAACTCTTTAGATTTACAGAGTTTACCCCTGAACACTAAAAAGTGTACCAAATACCTCAAAAAATTTTGGAAAATTGCACGATTTACTCCAGAGCACTTAACTAAAGATGATAATTTTGGAAAAAGGTATTTTGAAGAATTCACAAAGGTCAGATAAATCATACTCGCAATTGTTGTGTGTGGGAACAACGCACTCCATATCTAGTATTTTAGGACCAACGGTACAATGTTTTAAATGGTTTAGTGATATTTGGTGCATTTTTTAATGTTCAGAAGTAAATTATGCAATTTTCAATCAGTTTCAGAATAAACAGAGAATTGTTTAATGTTTAGAGGTAAACTATGCAATTTTTAAAGATTTCAAGAATAAACGGTGTAATTTTCTCTTTTTGTTATTCTTTATACAGAGTGTTTCTTAATTAATTAATTTAGAAGTAAAATAAATTTATTTTCTTTGTCTAATACGGATTATTTTCATTTTATCTTCTTTTCTCTCTTCAAAGGATTTACATGGTTTCTGATTCAAGGAATTCAAAACAAATGTTTCTCAACAAATTTTGTGTTCGTCAACCAAACATGACGCAAAGTATCTAGTTTTTTTGTGTGTATTCTCATCAAGAGAGAAAACTCCATTACACGACAGTATTTGCGGCTGCTTAGTTAGGATTCTAAAACCCACCAACGTTGACAATTTCACCCAGTCACTTTGACCTCTAGTCAACTCCATCACTACCTTGTTTTCCACAACTTTTTTTTTTCATTATTACTCATTTTTTAAGGTCATCATTACTCTCTTTATTTTATTTACCTGTCCATCATGGCCCAATTTCATCCATCCTTGTTTTATTTCGAAAAATCACCTTTTCCTTTCCTTTTTATTTTCTTAAAAAGGACTATTGTTCAAACACTCGAAGCAAAAAAATTCGTATTTGAAAATGTGATTTACATACTCGAACAACAAACAGATTTCAAACAAAATTAATCACTTGCTATATAGTCAGAGTTAGAGGCGGAGGCGACGCCGGGGCAAGTG